TAGAAGTAAATACCTCCATTTAGTTCCTAAAAGGCCTGCTTTCTGAGATATCAAATTGAGTACAGAAGTAACTATTGCAGTGTTAATAATAACATAGTAATTTATGTGCTGCAGTAGAGGCCCAACGAATAAGATTATCCAAGTCACTGACCAAACACTGCACAGAGAGGTTGGGCTGTGCTGGGCCCTTTGACAGTGTAAGTTCGTAAGCTATAGCGCCCTTCTGGCTTGTTGACAGAGTGGAGAGATAATGTCAATGAGGTGGAAGGCTAGTGACAATGGTCAGTGTAACAGAAATCCTTTATAACTTCACATTATTGATTTTTGACCTTTTGGGGCAAAGTCAAGTTTAACTTCACCTTATTTTTTGAGCACATATGAAATACATGGAGCTGTATCCCTTGAGTGCTGTAGGCTTGTTCAGTGCACAGAAGGAGGACATCACCTCCAGGAAGGAGTTTCCTTTATGGAACTGAACAACCCAGGACACCCAAGTTACTCCTGGAATATGATAGGGGAGAATAAGGGATCTTTTTCTTTCTCCATCACCGAGGAATATGGCTTGGAAAGTCTCTCTTCTTAGCCTGTGATTTACTAATGTCAGAGACTCAATTGCTATGGAAGGAAGAGAATGGAAGTCGTCACTTAACAGAACTGGCTGCACACTGCAGTCAGCCTACACCCACAACCAGATGAGACCTGATCATTCAGGACAGGGGCAGCCTTGGTATCGGAACATGAAAAACACCGAGTCTTGTATAAAGTCTTATCTGTATCCTCCTTAGATACAAACATCACAGTGGAGACATTCGGCTTCCTTTAATGGCCGGCCCTCACAACGCCCTGTTCCTGGTTCTCTTCCCCAACCTGTCGGCAGTTCAGTGGTTCACCACATCTCAGAAAATCTAGCTTTTCCTTTCCTGTCTTAACATCCAAAGGTAGATAGATGTTCTGTCCTCCCATAAAAGGAGATTTGGTTTCCAGAGAATGACATTTCCCGTAATAATTGCTGATATTGTGGAGGTAAAGAGAATGGCTTTTTCTGAGCACTTACAAAAGAGTGTCTCTTTACGTTCTGTTGTTCCAGAAGGGCTCCACCCTCTGCACTGGGAACAGTTAACTCCCAGGCATTGAAACCTGTGCTCTACTTGGGGACTCATTGAAAAAACTTCAGTGGAGGAACTTTCGAGCCATCTTATTTAAAATTAAAAGAGACCTGTTCTATTTCAGTCTCCTGTACAGTTGTTCTGGATTTAGAGCTAGACCATCCAACAGTCTAATGCTGCATCATGCCAGGTGAGCTTAATAGCGGCCCATGTTTTCCCATGGTTTCTCAGAGGCCCTGCTCAAAGTGGAAATCCCAAGGCGTTTCCGGAGTTCACAGAGATCTTTAACATTAATAACATCTGAATTTCAAACTACCAGAATTTACTTTGTATTTTTGTTTCCACTTTTTCTTCATCTTGCAATAACGTAGAGCAACCTGGTCCGTGTGATTTCCCTGCAAGTCATTTTTATGACTCTGTGTGTGTGAGAAAGAAAGATTAATCTGCCCGGGTTGCTTAGTCATTGTGTCCACCATCTCACTTTTTCCACCATTTCTTAGGTTTCCCGTCATTGCTGTCACCTAACAGAGTTCATCACTGGGTTTCCAAGTAACTAGCGAAGGAGCAAAACTAGCCACTTAAATAGTGTTTACACAACCCTTCTGTCTGTCAGGGACAAGTTATAAATAAAATCTATCTGATCATTCATTTATACGGTGGAGAGATGCTACCGTGGGGGCATGGGAAATACTTACACTCTGTGTTTTCATGTTTCGGGCTTGCATACGCTCATCTACTTCCCTCCCCTTCCACCCCGTCTTGAGACAGTAGGCGACCTATAGAAGGAGAAATTATTTTTGCTGTCTCCTGATCCTAGTTTAACTCTGAGACTGGGTTTCTTTGGGGCAGGTGTTACTGTTCATTGAACAATTCTGCCCTTCGACTCTGCTTTTGTCTGCTCTCCCAGACAGTGGACCAGAATGGCCACCATTGTACATACCCCAGGCGTTTCTTAGCAGAAAACCAATGGCACCTTCTTCAGCAGAAGCCACGTGGAAGTGGGTTTTTTTTTTTCCTTGAGCCAGTCCTGTTCGGCTTGAAAGAAATATATATATTTGAGTATTTTAGTTTTTTTAGTTTTCCAGGGCTTGTTTTAGTTCAACCTTATTATAAGAAAAAATGTTAGAAGCAAACAAATGAGCAGTTGGTGTTCCACCTGTGGGACTCTCGTGAGGTTTCTGATAGGCCAGTGGGCCCTGAATAGGTTGGATTGATCTCAGGTTCTTCCGGACTTGCTACTCTCCTTGGAGCCTTTGTATACCTACCAGCTAGCTTGCCAACTCTCTGTCCTAGCTATCTTCTCAATATCTTCCAGACAGTGCTAGGAAAGAGTTTTCCTTGCCATCCTTTCAAATCCCTTGTGTGTTCCCTTCGTGTCACTTAGACTATACTATCTGTTGTAAACACTTTGATGTGTCTCTATGGCCAAACTGCAAATTCTCTGAAATTCGGGACCGTAGATCCAGCACAGTGCCCAGCCCAGCTCAGTAAATGTGTGTTAAGTGAGTGGTTGGCTCTGCCATTCAGTGAGATGGAGATGGTTCTGGCTCCAGAGTAGGGAATGGATCCATGAGGATGCCAAATGAGTGAGTGAATAGTAGACAGCAGACAGTTTGGAGGTTCCCCATCGTGGTGGTGAGGACTGGGTATGCGCTCCACCTCAGTCTCAGGAAAAGAAGAAACATGAGAGGTGGAACCACATATCCTGGAAACCGAATCAATGTGGACACATGGGTTTAGGCAATTGTATAACTGCAGACAGAGGATAGCACCAAATCACAGAAAACTAAAGACTTTGGACGTGTTAGATGTAAGGCTGCCTGTGAGATGTCTGCATAGCATGTCCAGTAGATGCCTAGATGTTTAGAAGTTGGCAATCCAGGAGGGCCAAAGGAAAAGATTTGAACATCACTGGTTTAAAGATTCACTCATCTCTTTATTCACTAGCTACTTTGAGGCATAAAAATCCCTTTGGTAAACCAATTAAGCATGAATCTAGTTTCCACAAATTTGTTTGCTCAGTGAGAGATGACAAAGGTCACCCTGCCCCTGACTCCTTGCATCAGACTCAAACTAGGCTTGAAGATAGACTTGCTTTTGGGTGGCAGAATTAAGGGCTTGCTTAGTTCAGAGATTCTTATGAGTCTTTCCTGAAAATACAGGCTTTCAGGGTTTGGTACTGAAGCAAGTGTCAGCCTGTAACTTGTACAAAGAGAGGTAAGGAAGAACCGCACTTCCCATTCATCTGTGTTTTCCTGGATGGTGTGCACATGGAGTCCACATTCATGTACACTGTAGCGGATTTCCTCTGTTATGATCTCTGGGGTAAACGTGATCTTAATGGTGCCCAGTAAAAAAGAAATGTTATGATCTGTTTTGACAAGACCTCTTTAAGAGAATTTTTTATTTATTTGCTAAAGTTTTTACTTCTCAGTCCAAGAGACAGCACCTTCAGCCCTTACTAAATAGGATCCCCTAGATACAAAACGTAGGTCGCTTTGATAAGTAAAAGTCCTTCAGAATGTTTAAGGTGAACTTCTGCCGTTTCATTTTGAACAGCGGGTTATGACTGGTATACATCCCAAAGCTTCGGACTATTTTTGGTCTCATAGATATCCTGTGTTATATCAGAATTAACTGAAAATTTTAAAGCGCAGTAAAATCCTTCCTTCCTCAAAACTCTGTTGTAATCAAAAGAAGAACTCATAGCTCTGCTAATGACCCTCTAGAACTTGGCTCCTTCTGTGCATTGCTGGGTGTGGCATCTAGTAAGCTTTCTGGTATGTATGCTCTGAAGTCCATGGGTTTGCTTCCCCTCAGCAGCATGTGAAATCTAGCTTTTCTGAAGCGTGCACATCTTACTGACGGGTTGCTGTACATACAGATGGCTTATTCTCTCAGGCTGGATCTCTTAAGGTGTGCGTCCTACTGCAAAGAACAGTGTTTTGGTTTTTTTCTTTCTTTCCTTTTTTTAATATCTTCAGCTAACACTTGCTCCAGGGCATCACACTTAAAGCAGGTAAAGAGTAAGCCGACTTCACGAAAAAATCTCTCGAGTATAATATGCCTTGTAAGACACAGAACGAAACCTGTAGGTGCCGGGATACACATCTTAGACTGTGTATCCCTCGCCATTTGTAAGCTTAAATGTTTTTAAATACCCCATGAAGTTGTACAATGTTTGTGGGGTGTAAAATCAGATATTTTAGAGAAAATTAACTACATTCAGTTAAAATTAAGCAAACATAAAACTTAAAGAGGAAACAATTTTGAACCATTTATATATATATATATATATATTATAAAAAAATCAACCAACACGAAACCCTTTTTCACTAAGCAAATATGAATTTGTGTCTATGAACAAAATGACTTCTTTCCACATTTCAAGACTGAGTTTACATCTGCCTCTTCCAGAACTCCTTCTGTAGGGCCTCTAGAAAAGAAAGGAATACCTTTAAAGCTCATTTGATTTAAATATACAGGCAGCTAAACCTGGTCAGACACTCCTATGGTGAGTGTTTCTAACCATTGTAGAGCCTTGCTCTCCTAGTTGATTCCCAGGGATGCTGCGTCCCCATGACTAAGCCTCGGGGGTCATCTCTTTCCTTTCTTTCTTTTAAAATTGTCTTTTGTTTCAGATTTCCTGTTGATTTTTTTTTAACCATCTCGAAAATCACCCAGCTGTTGTTTCAAAACTTTTCCACAACCTCCAGACTCAACCCAAAAGTTGTCTCTGTTACCAAATGACTGTGCCCTCCCACAGGAGCACCGAGGGGGCTGAGTGTGCGCTTAGGCCTTGCATGCTTAATCATAACGGACGGGTGTTTACACTTGTGCAGGGAGCGCTTTCTGATTCTGACGCTTGGTTTTCTTCTGATTTTGTTTCCACAGGACATTTGGGCTTCCAGGACAGTTTTGTCACATCAGGTGTTTTCAGTGTGACCGAGCTAGTAAGAGTGTCACAAAGTAAGTATAATTTTCCTCTGATTTGGTCCAGATTTGCCGTCAATTTGTGTTTCCTCTCACATAGGGTATTTCTTTCAGAAACTCTTTTTGTTCTTCTCCGTAGAGGAACTTCACCACTGAATGTGTTTGGAAGCCAATATTTCTAAGCTAGGAATAATTAGTATTTTAATGTGAGCCATTATGTCAGGGCCAATACTGAGTGTCTCCCAATAGTCCTGGGTACATAGTATGAACTTGGCTTTAAAAGATCTTGACTCTTCCCTCTGGTTTCTAAAGAATTCTGCACTTAAGAGAATTTGTTTCTGACCTGTAAGCAATGCTAATGGTCTCAGTTTGAGTGGCATGTTACAGCATGGTCCTTACCAGCTTGTCAAGACCAACTGCAGCGAAGACGGAAGAGTGCGTGCCACCACCCAGTTCTGTTGATCAAAGGCCCATTGATTGTTTGTTATGACATAATTCAAACCGTCCAAGAAGCATGGAAGTCTGTCTGTCTTTGGCTCTCTGTCTCTTCTTTCCCCACCTCACACATACACCTCCAGAACATCTCTGTTTTAAAACCATTCCTAAAGCGACCACCTACTCTCAGTCTCAATTTTAAAGTGAAATTACAAGGGAACCCACAGAAACAACTAGCCTGGGCCCATAGGTGCTCACAGAGCCTAGACCAGCGACCAGAAAACCTGTATGGGACTGACATAGGCCCTCTGCATATGTGTGACAATTGTGTAGCTTGGGCTACCTTTAATCCCCTAACAGTGGGGGGAGGGGCTGCCCCTACTGCTTTGGCTGACTTTTGGGAACCTCTTCCTCATACAGGGGTGCCTTGTCCAGCCTCAATACAAGAAGAGGCGCTTAGTCCTACATCAACTTGATATGCCTTGCTTTGTTGATACCCATGGGAGGCCTGCCCCATTCTGAACAGAAACAGAGGAAGAATGAATGGGGAAAACGGGGAGGTTGTGGGAGGAAATGGGAAAAGAGGAAGGAGGGGGGAATTATGGTTGGGATGTAAAATAAATCAACAAATTTAATTAATAAAAGTAAAATTAAACAAATATTAAAGATTTACTTTTATCCTCTACCTATTTCAGAATACTAATGGTAGGTAAGTTATATTGTTAAACACAACTTCCAAATGGCATCAAGCCCTTTGCGGAAGGAAATGGAGTTTGTAGCCCCTGATGTATGTGTTATAGGCTTGAAAGGAGGCACAGGTAAACCAGTTAGTTGGTCCTAATAGATGCAAGGAAACTCAAGCCAGCCTGATGATAATCTAAGCCTAGATTTTTTCCACTCTGTTTTAATCATCACAGGCTAGCATAAATCTTGTGTGTCCAAAAAATAGGCGACGATGTGAGCCTGAAGGAAAATCCAGGAGTTCTTGACCATTTGTTATTTGTTTAGTGCTCTGCCAGGCCTTGGGGAAGGGTTTACCAATTAATCCTTGCAATAAAGGTTACAGGTGACCCTAAGGATCATTTATCTAGTGGAAATCATTTATTCAAAGCCAAGCAGTATAAATGATTCAGGTAAGCCTTGATGTGGGCCACAATCTGAGACTAACACAGGGGAGTTTTAGAAACTTTTCTGTTTAAGACCAGGCTTAAGTTCTGGAAAGGCAACTGCGTATGCTAGAATTCTGGCAGCGAGAGAGGCGGCCATTGGTGATGAGGTCCTTCTGGGTGGTAATGGTAGAATCCTCAGTGAGAGGCAGTAGAAGTAGCAGGTGGTGGCCTGCATTAGAGATCCTGTGGTTGTGTTATGAAAGGTGTCCAAAGTATCAGCTGAGGGGGAGCTGGCTGGCACTGTTGAACAGGAAGACATGTGCTTCTCTGGTTAGAGCATGGTTGAATTGCCAGTCTATGATCTGGCCATAGACAGCAATGCACATATATTAAAGGTTGTCAATATTCTAAATTTTTTATACTCTTACTAATAAGAGCATATAAAGAGTATATCTTATCAGAGTGTATCAGTCATAGCAGCATTAGAGGGAAGTATATTTATTGAAGCTTAATTGAGATCCAAGCATAGCCTTGCTTTTTAAAAAAAAAAATCCTTTTTACTCTAATATTAGAGCTTTAGCCCATTTCATTCTGCCTTGGCTACTCAAATCTTGCATTAGTCTTCATTACCAGAAGAGTTCCAAGGTCTGGGGGTTGTAAGAGGCCAGACAGCTCAGAAACATCCCTGGCATCTAGCCCTTCCTCCTTTCCCTTATTTTCCTTTCAGCTCTTATAGCCAAGATTGATTAGCCCTCCCCTCAGTCTCAGGCAGCATGATTGCCAAGTGAATTCTACATGTTCCTTCAAGATTGCCAGAGGGGATGCCTGCCCTTGGGGCTAAGTTTGCAGCGTGTCTTGGATTGGTTCCTGTGCCTGTGTAGGGGGCTGGTTAGCAAAGGCCTGGCATTGTGAGCATCCTTCAGCTTCTCAATGCTTGCCGGTTCTGCACACTGCTGTGTAATCGCTCCAGGACTCACTCACACATGGCCTTGTGCTGACTGCAGCTGTTTGGCAAGAGCAGGACCAGGCTGCATCAGCTAAACCATGGCTTCAGGCCAAACTGGTCAACTGTATGCCAGAGACCCTCTCTTCCTAGATCTTTAATCTAGGTTTGTCAAGGTTTATTTTGTCAATCTCCTTGGCTACTGCAAGAGGGATCTCCAAGCTGGACATCAGCCTGAACACTTTTCTCAAAGGCATATGCCGTAGTTAGGTTTCTATGCCTGTGATAAACTCTGACCAAAAAAAAGGGGGCGGGGGGAGAAAGGGTTTATTTGCCTACAGGTCACACTCAATCATCAAAGGAAGCCAAAGAAGGAACCTAGAGGCAGGAACTGAAGCAGTGACCACAGAGGAATGCAGTCTACTGGCTTGCTCAGCCTGCTCTCTTAGACAATCCAGGAATACCTGCCCAGGAATGACCAGTGGACTCGGCCCAACATCAATCATTAATCAATACAATGCCCTATGACATGCCCACTTGTCAATCTAACGAAGATAGTTCCACAGCTGAGGTTCCCTCTTCCTAGTTTGTGTCAGGCCGACAAAAGCTAACTAGCAGAGCATGCCATCCGAGTCGCATAAAGAAGGTGGGTCCTTGCTCATTCCTCAGAAATGTGTTGCCCTTTCTCTTCCTGTACCCACATGGGGAGAGCTGAGCCCCTGTTTTAGGGATGTAGGGAATTTTTGCAGATAAGAGGGGCTGAGGAGCATTCTCCATCCTTGAAATAGGATTAAGCTAACTGGCAATGTGTTGCTGAGACCCAGGATGCTAGCCCTGCATTGTTCAATTTGGATATTAAAAATGATGTGAGTGAGAATTTACCAAGTACATTGGGCTTGTACTTTGGGCTAGATATGTGGACACTGCTTCACTTGGCGCTTCTGTGCCTAAGTCACAGTCCCTTTTCACAGATGAAGGATGCTGCGGTACTCAAAGACACTGAGCATCTTGATCTTGCAAGCCTTTGTCGTGATTGTTCCTCTAACTCCATCATAGAGTAAAATAGACCAAAGGATCCTGGGCTTTGATTGATTGATCATTTCTTGTTGAGGTGGCATATCTAAAGTAATGAAAATTTTAAAGGATTGCTATAATGCAAAATTGAACAAGTAAAATACATAATTATATTATCCCTAGATTCATTTTCAATATGATTTGTTTTAAATTAGTACTCTTCATATTTTTAATTCTGGCAGTGCATGCTGTACACTGAACCCAGAGTCTCAGCATGCTAGATATGTCCCATACCAATTAGCTACATCACCAGTCCTGGAAAAAATATATTCGAGCAGTTTTTTAGGTTTATAATTTTCAGTTAGCAAAACACAGAGTCCCCATCTCTAACTGATTCCTCTGTTATTAACAGCTTTGGGTAGTTTGCTACAATTCTTACTATAGGTGAACCAATATTGACAGGCAATTATTAACTAAAGTGTAGAGTTTGCATTGGGATTTCCTCTTGTGCTTTTGTTCCTGGTATCCATTCTAAATGCCTCCAAAAGCTGTAACAGAGCGTATCTCCTATACGTATCATGCAGGATCATCTCTCTGTCCCGAATGGCTGTGCTCCACCTGCCCACATGGCACACACGCGCACACCTCTTGGATCGCTCTGTTGTTTTGCCCCTTGTGTGGGTGTATTTCACTGGCCCTCATGTCAGAGTTCCTTATTCCCTCAGAATGTCTTCCTTGGTGATCCACCCTGACCTGGTTTCTTTATTCGTCAAAGGCACAGCTAGATGTGACCAGGCACAAGTGTGGATACTTCATGTAACTCAGATATGATCCTCTGGCATTGAAGGGTTGCTCTTTCCAGAAACCTAGGGTTAGCCTTCTCCATTTGATCATAGAAATATTTATTTCTCCGGGATTCTAGTGCAGTTTTCACTGTAGTGGAGTGGGGCCTGCCAGTTCAGTATTTGCAAATGAAAAGTCGCTGAGATAACTATATGCTGATTGTATTGGTTGTGACCCTGCCACCTCCAAGATGGCAAAGACAGAGAAACTCAGCCTCACAAGTTCCTAGGTGAAAGTTAGACTAGACAGCCCAGCTGCCTGACGATAAATGCCTGGATCAGATGCAAGGAACTGCTGAACTCGGGACTCCAGCTGGCCCATGGGAGCTGCAGGCACCCAGGAACTCCCTCATCTTTGTCTCCTCCCTTTCATTTTTGCCATCATCATCTGATGTTGGGGAACTGTAGCAAAGGAAGTCCTGTAGCTGAGAGTACGGATCCGTTCTGTTGCCTGTCTCCACACGTGGCGGGACCATCTGAACCCCGTCTCATTATTTATTACCTTGTTCCACAAGAGGGAGAAAACACAGACCACTGCATGCTGGGCCAGAGAAAAGGAAGAATTCAGAACAGAGCAGAGGCTCCGGAGAGCGACTGTGGTTCCGAATCACTGAGGTTGTTTTAGCATAATCCCATGAAGGAGGAGACAGGAGCCATCTGTTGAGATGGTGCTTTATTACACAAAGCCCTCCA